ATGCACACGTGGGTAATAGCGCCAAGGCGTACGCGCGTTACCGGTTTCAGCAGCGTGCATTTTTCCCGTGCGGTGTAAAGACCGTGATGCATCGATCTTTGAGTCATAGATCATCACGGCGATAGGTAGGTCGCCTGGCAAACATTGTTGCAAGACCTATAGGGCGTGGGACCAAGGTGATACTCGACCGTGTTGATCTTATGTACCGATCAAATGCGACCGAGTTTTAATGTCAATGATTGGCAAATGATAGTTGCAGCGTAATGTAACGTCGGTGTTCATTCTCAAGTTTGCCAGCATCGACGAAGGAGAACTAATTCTAGATATACAGCGTACGGTGATGGATAGAATGGTTGCGGCACTATTTTTTTCATGCGTTTAGGAACGCGCATTTAGATTCAGGTTTCCGTTCCGAAACATTTTCTCTGAGAAAAGTTTTACTTGAATACGCGGGAAACGCACAGAATGGTTTCGGAATGGTCATCGGGCAAAATATCCCTCGGAGAAGAAGGTTTTGGAATGCTACCCTGACTCTAAACCCACGTTCCTAAACTCATTAAAAAGAGTGCAACCATCACTGTACATACATACACGACAGATGCGATTTTGCCTACTTTCTGTATTAATTAAAATTAAAAAGGTCTGACTCAGGATACAATTGTCCCTTGGCGATTTATTTTCGGCCGTTCCGAGTTGTCGTAGGATTCGCTGAAGAAAAATCGGGACGGATGCTCTCGCGCGGCTAAGTGAAATCTTATTTTCAACGATACGGCCGATCTCCGACAGAACGCGGATGATGTGCCGGTAGGGACTTAATAATCCGCAGTTTCATGTATGCCCACGAGGCGTAGAGGCGTATATCTATATCCGCACGAAGCTACGTCACCACCGGCTCTAGGCGAGGCGTCGACGATGGGGACCGGAGCGGGATGCAAACCATTAAACAACAGCTCGCGGGGTGATAGATGGGTCGCATGCCGATCGTTCTTGTTGGCAAGGCCCATTAAAGCGCGTGGGTCCGAGCTCGCATTTACACCTGAGCTTCGACCACCACCACCACCACCCGCCGTCAGCACACGAGACCCGACAGGGACCGAGAACGCTGACCGGACGGAGAAGGGTGCTAGGGGAGCGGGATAGCGAGAGAACTCGGGGCCCCGGGACGTGGCCCGCAGTTAATTGCCAGCATTTAATGAGCGCTCTTTGACGCGCCGCGCGAACCGCTACGGTAAGAGTCGTAATGGCCGCAGCAGCGCTCTCCTGACGACTTCGCGCACCATGCGTGCGCCAGCCCTGGGCTGGCGAGCAAAAATTACCGCTCGCGAGAGTATTATCGGCCACCAACGATAATATCCTCGCCCCGACGAAAACCGATTCGAGCGATTGAGATATTAGCGCGATTAACTGCGCAAAGAGCCATTTTAGCGGGGTCGTTAGATTTCTTCCGATTTGAAAAGAGGATTCTTTAATAAACGGAATCGAGCGCGATAATATCTCGAGTAGGAGATTGAAATTTATCTTATTTCGCGCGTATGAGACAACACATCACCACGAGCATTCAAAATTGTTGTTCAACTGTGTACGCCAGATCTAATTTACCTTCTTCAGAAGTATAGCAAGGTTAAATGCTCGCAACTATTTATTTCATTTTGTACGTTAAATCTGATTTATTTACAGATATAATAAAAGTAAATAACCAACAAGTTTGTGTCTCGTGTATGACAAAAGAAAACTTTAACTTAGAACCGGAAACTAATGCAAAGAAAGAATAGAAAAACTTGAGTGAAAGAGACAATTCGTCAAGAGGGGGAAAAGTCATTTTTTGTTTCTTTTACCTTTTAACGTCATTTGTATTACCTAGTTGGCAGGAAGCTACCGAAGTTGTGGTTGAGCACAATAGCGTCGGCAAAGCTTTACAGTCACGCCGCCATTTTTTGTGAGACTTACTTGGCTTCGACAATAGCGTCGCCATTTTGATTTAGTGACCACAATATGGTCAATGAAAAGCATTTGTTGGCAAACTGTGTGTCCCCGAAAAGGGAAACGACATTCATCAATTCTGTATCTGCGGGAGTTACTCCGATCTTCGTCTACCTGCGGTTAACTTGTGGTTTTGTCCTACAACAGAGTCGACCAAATATGCAAAGGCAAATACTTTCAAAATTGTTTGCATTTTGAACGATGTATACGACAATGGAATTTACAAGAATTTTACTTCGTAGAATTGTTTGTTGAGCGAGAGGCAATATGTCTTTCTACCGAGCTATTTGGATAGTTTTTTAAAGTTGAAAATTTTTCTTTATATTATAAAAATACAATAAGTATCTTTACCAAGTAGTATTTTATAAGTAATATAATATAATTTAGATGTATTGCTACTGATATATGTATACGCAATATATTTGTTTTATATAAAAGATATTATATTGATTCTAAAACTATGTGTTTACGTTACGCATTACATAAATATCTACAAATCTTAAATTTAAAATATTGTAGAAGCCACTGTGAGCAATAGACAATGAGAAATGGATTACCGACTGCAATTTTAGTTCACCGAACGGCACAAGAGGGCAGCTGCTTAGATCTCATGCCCATTCTACACCTAGGGATGATCCTACTTTTACCACATCCGATACGATACCCCTTCTATACCTAAAGCTAATCCTACTTGCAGCTTATCCGAGGGAGTAGTATAAAGTGTAAAAGGGTACACTGTAGTTGTACTTTGGTACGATTGGAAACCAACCAAAGTGTAAACCTTTTACACTTTATACTACTCCCTCGGATAAGCTGCAAGTAGGATTAGCTTTAGGTATAGAAGGGGTATCGGATGAGCTACAAGTAGGATCATCCTTAGGTGTAGAATGGGCATCAGGGATGTTGCAGGCAAGTTGAAAACATTGTTCCACTTACAGATATCACGCGGAGAAAAATAATTTGCTAGCACAGTATATCTTATGTAAACTTAAGTTGTCTTTTATTTTATGATAAAGTTATTTTCTGTTTTATGGACAACTATAAGATTCACCCTGTATATTTTCGACATTCTGTGCATAACAACAGTCGATAGAATAACAGTTGTTGGTATAAAACCTATTGCAAAGCGGACCGCAACACAATAACACACGAAACAATTTTTATTATTTTAAATAAACATTTTTTTAAGTTAATTTTGTAGTGCGTTGTTTATAAGACATGTAATAAATTATAAAACCACAATAATATCGACTGACGATGAAGTAGTATTAAAATGTCAAAGAGAGGCAGGTATGTAGTCCTTTTTATCGTTCGCTGTGCAGAAGACATCGCACACTTATAAGGTGTTACCTTCGTTATCTTTTGAGCAATGAAAAAAAATCATCTCTATTATTATACATATAATTACAAAAACAAAATTTGAATAAAAAGATATTATTGAAAATATTGTTAGTATAAAATCCGCATTTGCAAAATGTAGAAAATATGAAAGGAATAAGTGTTTACAAAAATCTTCATTTCCTTCTGGAGTAACTTACCGGAAACTGTCATAGATGGCGACATAAATATCTTCTACATTGAAGAAGTCCAACTGCACAACTTCAATTGATAATAAAAAAATATGTGAAGCTATAATCAATCTGGAACATTTATTTCTTCTGAAAGTAATTTGAATTACTGACGAAAATTTTAAAAAATTGATACAACAAATCCAAACTAATGTAATATTATTATCTCAAAGTTTCGGTAGCTTGATATTTATTACTGTAAATTAAAGATTAAAGATGTAAACTGTTGTTCGCGACCAGGCGATCGACATACCTCGCGGTATACCTGTAAATACTCCAAATAAAAGATTATTAAATTATAGTAATTAAAGATCTATTGTTTTATTTTAAATAAATAAATAATATAAAATTTAAATAATTTTTTTTTAGGAAATATGTCTTCTGTAAATATCATTAAAAACTGAATATTTGATTTAGTAAGCATTTATAGAAAAATGTATTGGTTATTAAAACTATTTGTATATAATAATTTAAATAGAATTTTTTATGAATCGGGAAGTATCCATGAGAAACTATAAGGCTCAAAGGTTTTATTAAAAATCTTTTGAATTATATATAATATTGGATTTCTTATCGCTATCACAGATTAATCACGCACGAAGTATATTTGTTAACATCAACGTGTACATCAACATAAATAAACGTACGGCAATATGTTTCTTTAAAATACTCCTATGCGAATAAACTATGCTGTAAAATTAATTATAACGCTCTCCTCTAATATTAATATAATAAACATACGTTTCAAATGGAAAAACTCATGGTATGATAAATTATGTACACGGGGAAACAAATGCTATTGAATTAAACAAAACTGAAGTTGCTTGAATTGGCTGCCACAAACATAAATAATTTACTGAATTGTATTTGCGATGGATTGTAATTTTAAGCATTGAACTAAATATCCAGATTATTAAGACAACCATCTCTTATTTTTCATTCGTTAATACTGATGTTGTTTCAACGATTTTATTTCAATTACACTGATCTTGTTGACACAACATCATTTTTTCTCCGTGTAGTAATGGATTATCTATTGTACAATCGAAGTAAAGTGCATCTGTTACGTTTCATTTGTTGTAGTAATAAAACACGTGAAATTGATGATATTAGTCGTCCGTCTGTCTCTTAAACTATTTGAACAATAAAAACATCGCTCTTTAACATATCACAAGTCTAATCGTAAGTAATAATCTGAATTATGTACAGATAAACTATTATCTACTGATTTAAAGCCAAGTACCAAAGTAACACAGAATTAGCGTAATATTACATAACTTTATGATATTGATGATCGTCTTTATCAATCACTGTTGGTTTACGTACGGTATACAGTGTATTGCAATCAGCGTTTACTATAACGAGGTTATCGAACAAACTTTGCAAACTATATGAAATTATACATATATGTACATATATTTTTGCGACCCTTTCGAAGAAGTAAAAATAATACTTAAAAATAAAAAAGTAACTTAAAGAAATTAAATTTAAAAGAATTATCTGGAACAAAATCTTTTAAACTTAATCTTGAATAAAAATCCTACCGTTCTCTGACGTACGTATACGTATGTGTTTCCAACAATTTTCCCCCGTTTTTCATCTCTCGAAATTTCGCAGCAGTCTGTTAAACAACATTTTACCCATAATACTATATCTTCAGAGATTTGCCGTCCGTTCTAATTAAGTCTTTCAAACGAAATAAATCTGTAAGTAACCGAAAAATAAATTTCGCGTCCCATGCTCTTTACTTCTCGTCGGAACATACAGGCGGCCTCTTTCACATTTTTGTATGTCAAAGCACATGTAGATAAAATAAATGACGATAAGCTCTCAGACGAGTCTGTATAAGGAACGCTTATCATCGATCTTTTATTACAAAATATCTTGGCGCGCTACCACGGTCTCCACATCGGATAGCGATCGTCCACGCGCTCGACGTCGATTTCTTCATCGTCATCGGCGTTAATGTCATGCGGATCATTCGTTTTGTTCCTCGGCGCCGTTGTCGCTGTCGTCGTCGGCGATCGCTGATCCCTCAGGCTCCTCGGTTTGGCACTGCAATTCACTGTTAATTTCTCATCGCCATTAACGAGCGACATCGAGGCTCGGCATCGCGGCGTGGAGGAGACCGTCGTCGTCGGCGCGACTCCGCCAACGGTTTTATCGGCGTGAGGCGTGGATCTTATCGGCGACGTGTTCGCGGAGAGGATCGCCGAGTCAATTTTGCCAGAGGTGCCGACGGGACAAGGTGCCACGATGTTGGCGATGCGATCCAGATTGGCCAGGGTAGGCGATAACAGGTTGGCTTTCGGCTGAGGAGAACACGTTTTTTGTCGTCATTACGGCGGTCGTTAACACTTCGCGATCATAAATCTTCGCGACTCGCTAACTATTCTCGAGGCCTGATCGCCGCTAACTTTTTCGCCAATTTTGGGCATAGCTTCGCGAGACGTAACGTGTGACTTTATTTTACCCGTTTTCCATAAGATTAGTATTTGATTGCAGTATATCACAATTCTTTTGCGCAAAGTTCTTTTCAGCAGCATCGCGAGGGTTTACAGAACTATGCAATTAAAAGTAAAAAAAACAAAAGTAGTCGCCAAACGTGACAAAGCAAAAAGGAGTTTTCACAGCTCATGAAACAAGATTGATTAATTATAATATTGCTGCTTCCGTAATTTTCACACTTTAACCATCAGTTACCAGCGTCGCGGCAAAGTACACGTATCAAATGTAATTGCGACAAATTGCGGGTTGCGTACTCCCTCGCGTAAGTCTATTGTACGGCGAAGCAAATTCGACGTTACACACGGCGTTATACGAGGCGTGCATAAACGGCAATAATTAACGTTGGCGAGCCGTACCGTAAACGACGCGACGTAACACTCGGCCGAAAAGTGAAATGCCTCAATTAAAAAGTCTCGGCGTTTTCCGGCTCCCAACGGTAGCGACGCGCCGTCAGCTACGATATGAATTTGTACGAGACGCGATCGGCGAGGAGTGTGCATTCATGCGTGTGTGCCCGATACTCTCTTTGCTCGATCGCAGAACTTTTGCGATCCCGTCTGTCCTCGTCGCTTTCCCCTCCCTCCCCGTGCCGTCCATTAATTAATCCCGCAGATCGAACACGATAATTACCGGTGAATTTGTCTGCCGGCCCGTTTGGAGGCCAGCTGCGAGGTGTCTCGCCAGCCCCTCCGCGGCTTCACCTGGAAGCGACGAGAGAAATCTGCAGGCTTCCGCCGCGCAATGCCCGAAGCCGGATTGCCAGCGGGTCTCCGCGGAAATTTCGTCGCCGCTCGCGATCGTCGCCGATAATCCGGACGGCCGCGAGGCCTGCAGCTTCTGCAGATGACGCACCGTCAGCTCGAGGATATCCGCCTTCTCCAGCTTGCTGATGTTCTCGCCCTCGGTCTGCAAATCATGCCAGTTTTGCTAGACTCATCGGTTCTCGATTACCGTACACATTACCTCATTTTTCCTGTGAAATACGAATTGAAAAAGAACCAGAGAATTGAGCACACAATATCGATAAGGGGGCGGCAGCCGTGTTGTCATCGTCGCGCGGCAAGTGCGACGAATATTAATTCTGATAATTTCATAATCGATTTCCGTCAATCCGATTTGTTCTCCCGATCGTACTTATTCTAAATTACCACCGAGCGCGTACAAGGCTCGCTATACCGGCGGCGATGCTCGTCGACCGTACAATTTCGCGCTTCTACAAAGTTAACCCTTTCGTTTCTGTCGGACCAGCCTTTCATCGGCCATCTGCGCTAAGTACCGCGAGGAAACGAACGATTCCGCAAAAAGGACCATCCCGAGTTTTTCGCGGTAGAAGAGAGAGATTGCTATTAAGATGGTATCGTTACCGGCTCGTAACGCCCGCGGGGCGGTTTACTTTACGTCACTCGATTGCTCATTACAAAAAGAAACGGAGACGAGCGACTCTAAAGGAGCGTGGCACCACGGCGGCGCCTGGGCTTTACGCTCGCCAGTTCCGCGGCGTTTTGCGAGGAGAAGAATAGCATCCGGTCGGCGGGCATTAAGCCGTACGAAACGTGCCGATCGGACCGGGTAATGTGCCGTTGGAAAATTAGCATGGTGAAATCGGCGGTGCCTTTCACGCTGATTCAGCGAATTATGCGCGAACGTAAGTTTCACGCGGGCGAATGTTCCGCGCGGAAAGACGATATCGACGAATTACCATCAGCGGCGAAGCGCATTGTGGTAATGTACAGGAAACGTGTAACAGCGCTTCTTTAATGCGCCATCGGTTTGCACGCTGTTTCAGAACGCGGGAAATCTTATAGCGAGTTGCCTGCGCTAGTGCGCAACGAGTGCACACTAAGGCTTGTTTACCGTCAATTTTTATATTTAAGGTCGTCTGCGATACATGTTCAAAAACCATCTAGCAAAAGAAATGATCGTACGGGCGCTACGTACATCATTTTACTGGCTAAACGGTATTTCAAGAGGTGTTCAAGACGATCCTTAAATATAAGAATTGACTGTAAACAAGCCTTAGTGCGCACTGAGTGCAGTTGTGCAGTTCGCGTTTATCGCGAAGACAATGCAATACATCGCAACGATAGAGATCGCGCGTCTTTCTGTAATTGAACTAAAATTGAAAAAAGAAAAGGGACTGTGTGACTTTGGTCGAAATTAAATTAACCATAGATCCCTGCTCTAGCGTAAAGTCAAAATGTTCGGAGAAAATTTCGGAAGAAAATTTGTTTCAATGAGAACTTACTTTTCATCGAAAGGAATCTTCTGTTCGGAGTAGCATAAACTTTACTTAACAAATTTATATTGTGCTTAATATAGTATGATTTTGTCACACAAGCCGGTATTCATAGTCAGATCTTACATTCAAGAACGTCTTGAATTTGTCTAGAGATGCTGTATGGAACATTTTATCGGCTACGGAGTATCTAAAGATGACCTTAAGACGGTCTTGAATATATGATCTGACTATGAATACCGGCCATAGACCCTTCCCCTATAACCGAATCGATTCAATTGTTTTGATACAGCGCAGAGTTCTACGTGCGGAGAAAAGGGCTCCCTAGAGAGAATTGCAAAGTGTAGAGTAAAAAAAAATCTGGTTGCATTAATTAGAAATCTGGTAGATTCCACCAGTCGTCTGTTAGAATATGGACGAATCACAATTCCTTTAGGATTTACTAGATAGTGAAGTCTATCAAACTTTTGGTTATGAAATATCGAGCCCTATCGTGGTAACTAGAAATTCTGTTTGGTTTAACCAAAATACATTCTATCATACATGTCTTGCTGACACAATCAAAGCATTTTTCTCAGTGCAGTTTACGCATTAATTCACATTATCGCGGGCCGAGTATTGCGGCTGAAAGTCGCGTGGTTGCGCTTACGGAGCGCTAAGTGCGCCGTGTAAATACCGCGCGGAGCGCAGCGCCGGGGCGCAATTATCATTAGACGGCGATAACTAAGGATATTTAAATACCACGTACGCGTAAAGCGCGTGTAAACGCGGTCCGCTTGACTACGCACTGAATATCATTTTGTTGACACTCCGCTCGCCGGGTGCGGGTTCCCACGCTCTGAGAATATTTAAAAGCAAAATCGCCTGCACGCGTAGTTGCGGCCGGAGAATGCGTTTCCTGCTAGTCGCGATCCGTAAAATTGCAGGAGCCGCGAGGGGATAGGGCGGCCGGCATCATAAATAGAGTCGGTGGGAGTCGAGCAAGAAACACGCGTTTCCTCCGAAGGCTCGCCCAGCGCGCAAGGAGAGCAGAAAAAAAGGAGCATAGCACGTGCTCGCTGAACCAGGCTACGATGTCGGGGCCCCCGAGACCGTTCGCGTTCGGAAATGTCGCCACCTTTTCTCGCCGTTAAACAATTTATCTCGGTCGTGCGAAAGAAAGAAAGAAAGAAAAAAAAAAGATCGCGCGCGGAGTGAAAGTTAATTGGCGCTCGCAAAAAAGCTGCAAACGCGCGAAGTCGCGTACCATTATTACGTCTTACGCGTAACTCGTAACTCCCTTTCGCGAAACACCTGTTCGAAACTGTATGGATTTGATTTGTGCACTGAAAAAAATTTCTGGTTGAATATGGACGAATCAGATAATTCCTTTAGGATTTACCAGAATTTCTGTAGGATTACAGGAATTCTGGTAAATCCTAAAGGAATTATCTGATTCGTCCATATTCAACCAGAAATTTTTTTCAGTGTGGATATGTAAAAAAAAGAAAGGAAAAGAGAAGTTACGCACGCGTAATAATTCGCGGAGCTTTTCTCTCTTAATTCTTGGGCGAAATAAGGGTCATTTTGTCATGCGATCGTATCTTGCTGCTATCGCTTTAATACGCTACTTCAATAGATAACACCATATGCTGATAATGTAATAGAAAGCGTCATCGCACCCACCTCCAGCGCGTCCACCATGAGATCCTTGAGTTCGTCGAGACAACGGTTTATCCGCGCTCGCCTCTTCCTCTCCAAAAGCGGCTTTGTTATCTAGTTATTGGACACACGTTGTATTTTATTAATCAACGTCTACGCTGAGAAAAATTTCCATCGGACGAACCAATTAAATAGCGTTTCCGATGGTTAATTTTTCCATACGTTTTCCGACTAAATTATAGACACGTCCGATGAAATTTATCCGATGAAGTTACCAATGAAGTTTGATCGAAAAACCGATCATATTTTTCATCGGATATACAATTTAACCGGATGTATCCGTTTGTTATTATGCAACTGGATTGTCCGATTATATTTAATCGTACGATCTGGGCGGAATCTCCCGCATCCACGACCCGGCGTCGCGTGTTCGATCGTCCATCAACAATGTAAAGCGCTAATTTACGACGTGGCGGGATGCGAAGGCGGGATTCGCGTCAGAACGTGAGTAATAATCGAGTTACATGCCGCGCAGTTATCGTTCCATCTCCGGCATTAATTCAAGAAATCTTCGATTTGTTACCCGGACGGCGCGGCGTCGAGTCGCGCGCGAGAATCAAGGTTCTTGTTGTTTTATCGCGCGGCGGCTAGACAGCCCGAGCGATGATTTAGCTTCAATTAGCGACCGGTAATTCGTTCCACGTACCATTCCACGTCGATTACGATTTCTTAAACCGCGAAAAGAAGTACCGATTTATGCCGTGCGACGCCAGGTGCTAAGTCGACGAAGAAAAAAAGGGGATCGGTTGCCTGACACGACGCGACGAGCATAAATGTGCGCCTGATCGAGTACTTTATCAAGTTACTCGGCTATCGATTTACGGCACACGGTGAGCGTCGCGAAAATCACGATCGTCGTATACAAATGGAATTGTTGAGTATCAATATATTTTTTGTGTGAATTCAAGTTCGTACCCTGAGAAATATGTCCGATTAGATATAATCGAATCATCCAATTACATAATAAC